GGCAAAAGTCCTGCAACTGACAAATAAAGGCTATCTCTCTCATCTCATCTCAAAATAAACCTATAAGAGAGATTGCAAAATAGTAATATTGGTTAAGTCGACCATCTATGACATTCTTAAGAAGAATGAATGCAGTGAAGCTCAGCGACACCAAAAGGCCCGCAAGCTCACAGAAAATAACTAAAGTGCATGATGACAGAATAGTTTGAAAGAAAAAAGGTTGGTAATTGTAAAGGTCTACAAACCAGAGATGCCTTGTAAAGAGATGGTTTACAACAAAGTGCAAAAATCTGATAACAAGAATTGAAAAGGACCACATTAGATTTACCAACAAATAAATAAATAATTAGATAGATGAAACCAAGGTTTACTTGTATCGGAATCATGAGAAGAGAAAAGTATGAAAAATGAGAGGAACGGCTCAGGATCTGAAGCAAACATCATCTGTCAAACATGATGGAGGCATTACTATAAGTCAGCACAGTCAGTACAAATGAAGAAAACACTTTGGGAAGCCACTTACTGCATCCAAGTATTAAATGTCTTATGTATGTCACTGATTCAGTCTCTTCCCTTCCTACCTTTGATTCTGTGCTTAGCGTGGCACCAAAACAACAAGAACCACCGATCTGGTGAACAATGAAGGAAAACAATCCAACCTTCACCAGTTTGAAATGTTAAAATATGCCTCAGGTTGCATGATGCTTGTTCTGAAGTGACATGTATGTGAGCGTCCCTTTATATGCCACTGTGGTTCATCACTCACGCGTTTCATGTATTATCCTGAAAGCCTTGGAAATTAGCTGTGTTTATACCTGCCCCTGTCATTTCCTTACATGTCTGCATTAAAGCAAGGGAAATTAATAGAAAAATGTTTGCTTTGTTTGGATCGGTAATGAATGTGAACACCCTCAGTGTCGGAGGCTACGTCAAAACAAATCTCTCACTTCACACATTATCTTAACCAACAATTAGCACGCCTTTGCAAGATGGTTTGATTTTAAGCAAAGAAACCAAATAACAAAACCTCTGACAAGACTAGTGCACTATTGTGAGTCTCAGTAATGCTTAATAAGGAAAAAAGCCTGGTATGTTTTATCTAAAAGTCACATTTTTTTAAGATGGCCTGTCTGCTATTGTGTGTTTCACATAGAAAAAAAAGCTAATAGAAGTCTAACAAAAGACCACAAACACACTAATTAAAAGCAAAAAGCCTACACGCGCTTACTTCTGGACTTGCTGTCCAGGTGGTGGTACAGGTCACTGAGGCAACACATGGTAACACAGAGTTATTACAGCAATGGCGTAGATTTGGTTTTGGCATTGGTGGGGACGGATGATTCAACCACCAAACCCTGCCCTGTTTCTTTTTTTCCCCTTTTTGTCTTTTCTTCTTGATAAATAAAGGAGAAATATACTTGCCTACATATGCAATTCTACATGCTTTTAAACCATTTAAAATTACAATTCATAGTTTTACATTTGAATTATATAATGTTAAATTACTCTTAAACAAATGACTGACTAAGTATTTCAGGCTTTAGTTTACTTCAGCCATATTCCATATAAATCAGGTATCATACAAACATAAAAATAGCTTCAAATACAGTCATGACAATAAAAGAATATGACTTTAAGAACTTAACAACATTACTTCAGTTATACTACACCAACATCTCTGATACATTAGCACTAAGGGAACACTGAATGAACTGGTGGGTTTTGTCCATGAAACTACTCGTCTAAGATTACCACAAAGTAAAAGATCTCTCAGCAACATTATGCAACATTTTAGGCACTATTGCCCCGATCAAATCAGTGAGCTGGGATTTTCTATTCTAAACATGAACTACTGTTACAGCAACAGACATGGACT